CTGCTGTATTGCTGTCCCTGTCCGCCTGCTTGCTTAGTACCGTTGCTGCTGCTGTAGCATGTCGCTGCTGCTGTGCGTCGCTGCTGCTGCTGCTGCTGTACACTGTCGTTGTTGTTGCTTTTGTACCGCTTTGCCTGATTTGCCCGGATAACCTTTGTCTTTACACAGACTGTCTACTATTTCCATAGGGATGCTCTTAATTCTTGTCTCCCAGGATGCACCCAACACCAGTCACTAACACCAGGTGAAATCAGGAAAAATGCCTGAAACTAGTGCTCATATTGGTGAATTTAAAGCCACAAAGGTTGGTCTGAGAGATTTAGAATCGTAGTGGCATTACCAGTGTGTTTAAGGCCTGTTCTGGAAGAAAATGCCAAACAGGACCTCAGTACTCAGAGGAAAAGGCACTCCAGGAAACAGTGTCATCATGGTATTGCTGCATTTCTTCAAATAAGGTAGTGTCATTTATTCTTCATTTGTAGAAGTAGTAATGCACAATATATATTGTGCTGTACATACTCTAACTATGTGCACCCAGTACCTTCTCTTTGTGTGTAGAAAATGTATTTCATATGGTAAAATTTTTTTTTCTTACTTTGGGCGTCTTGCACAGGGGTGTTATGTGCAGTTAAAAACTTGTGAGTGTAAAGCCCCTTTGGCAAGACAGTGATGGATGTGAATGATGGTGAAAGTTTTTTTTTCGGCACCTGCTTGGTGGGAATCGCCGTGTTAATAAAAAAAAAAAAAAAATATTTCTTATGGGGAAAATTCATTCGCATACCGATCATTTCGCATAACAATGAGTGGAATATTATGAAATATTTCGTAGGAGCACTTGAGGGGGACCTTCACTCACTGGTAAACAATGCCAGACTGGCTGGGTAGGGAGGCCGCCCCGGCTCACACCGTGCGTACGCGTCCCGGACAAACTACTATTCGCGAGTCAACCTATGAAAAGCGAGTCCATGTTTATACGAAAATACCCCTATGATTGGCGAAATTTACGATTGCTAAGAACTACGAAAAGCGAGGGACCACTGTAATCTAAAAAGTATCTTACCTGCAGCCAGCTCCTCACGGCTGGAAAGCGTTCAACCGGTACATCAATGAACGGAACCCCGAGGTCTTTCAGCGTTTTCTTGGCAGCAAGACAGTGAGGGCAGCTGACAATGGTGTACACCAGCACCCGGCCTCGCACCTCCAACATCCTTCACCAGGCAAGATACACAAACCTGCTGCAGGACTTACATTTTTGATGAATTGTAGGAATATCCTGGGTTACATCAAAATAAAATATGTCACTTTTTTATGCTTGCCTTTTTAAACACAATTAAATTTTTAACTTCTGCGTACAATTTACTTACGTACAGTATAATATACCTTCGTATATAACTTAATCTGAATATCACATTAAAGGAGAAGCTTTAACCCTGCATGGGTCACTAGCACTATTAGATTAAGTTTATTCAAATATAGGTACACTTCAATACATAAAGTATCATACACAGCATGTGTAGATTACCTAGGATAACCCAAAAATGTCAGACACAGTTGCCTATTTCCTTGTATATCCTATTATGTAAACCTTAACAGTTAAAACAGATGGGTAACTCAACTATGTCAAAAGGAGATATACTAGGAATAAGATAAACTGAGGTATTTACATTAACATAAATACAGATACCGTATTTCGTGGCTTATTAGACGCATTTTTTCCATAAAATGTCTCCAAAAACCTCCTTGCGTCCTATAAACTGAACTAAGGTAAGTGACGGGAGATATAAGTTTGGGGTGTGGGGTGGGCTGTATCTCTACCACATCCAATGCCAAGCCATTGAAACTAAAATTAGTCTCATAAGCCGCAAAATACGGTACATAAATTATTATACATAGCAATATGTGTACATTACCTAGGATAACCCAAAAATAAAAGGTCAAAGTGACTTATTTCTACTGGGTCCTTGTAATATCTTAATATTTCAACCTTAAAAGTTAAAACATTATTATTATTATAATCAAAAAGAAGTGCTAAGCCACAAGGACTATACAGCTAAAAGTTAAAACAGTTAAGTAAAAGATGAATAGGCTTAATCCAAGAATGGGGGGATGGCTCCAATTTCCTGGATCGAGAGCCTCTCACCTTTATTCAAAACATCCTATCCTACTCCCCCCAAGGGTTTAATTGAAACAGTTAGGCCAGGTTAGGTAAGATTTGCCAGGAAACCAGCGTTTCCTGACGCGGACCTTAATCATACGATGGCCCGCAGCTGGAGCTTTTGGTCATCTGACCGAGGCCTTTCACTGGCTCACGGGTCTACCCGCTAAACCCGTAGGATTATACAGCGCATGTGGGGGGAGGGGATGGAAAGTATTCAGGCTCAATTCAGGAACCGGAGCACAGATCCAATTCCCTGGATCAAGAGCCCCTCACCAGCGTCAAGGAACCTCCCTTGAGAAGGTTACAATATCATACATAACAGCATATGTGTAGAGAACCCAGGAATAACCCAAAAAAGTCAGAACTCCTGGCATGTAAACCAGCAAATATAATGTATCAGACACAGTCAAAAGACCTTCACCTACAAAGGTGATAAAGGTAATAAAATATATTTCGTTAAAGACTACTTATCGTTTTTTTCCGTAATAAGTTGCCAGTTTTGAGGATGGATGAATTCCTTGACAACACTGTTGACACAGCCACGACACCTGTGTCCTTCCACCACTATCATTATATCTTTATTAACTACAAGTACATATACAAGGTATACAGACCATAGCTGACATTACTGACATACTACTATATAGAAAGCCACTTGTTTATGCTGAGAATTTCGGGCAAATTTGGTCAGTTTTGTCCAGGATGCGCCCCACACCAGTCCACTAACACTCAGGTACCTATTTTACTGATGGGTGAATATAAACAATAGGTAGCTTATGGAAACTCTCCCTAATGTTTTCCAGCCGTACCGGAGGAGACTCGAACTCTGGACCTCAGTGTGTGAGCTGAGTGAGCTACCGATGGAGCTACGAGACACCGTGTTATTATTATTATTTATTATTATTATTATTATTATTATTATTATTATTATTATTATTATTATTTTATTATTATTATTATTATATTATTATTATTTATTATTATTATTTTTTTATTTATTATTATTATTTTATTATTATTATTGTTATTATCCTCGGCGTAATTATTATTGTTGTTTTTATTATTATTTATTTATTTATTTACTTATTTTAGCATCAACAATGTATAGGTAAACCTACGGGCAAAATTCGGTAGGGTGTTTCTGGCAACGGACGGACGGAGGATCGAGCACCTACTAGCCCTTGTGGCTAGTTTTTCCCCTCTTCCCTGACCATGGTTGACATTCAAGATCACATTTTGATAATTACATTATGGTGCATTTTTTACCACTTTTTTTTATAAAACAAAATTTAAATTTAGCTACAGGAGATCTCGACTCCTACAGATCAACGAGGAACACAACGGCGCTTCCGAGACTCAGTGTTGAGGACCTCATCTTTGAACCACTTACTTGGCTGTGTCAACGCTAAGACCCTTCTAGGGAAGATTCCTTGGTGCTGGTGAGAGGCTGTTGATCTAGGAAATTTCACCTATTTTTTTCCGGGATCAAACCTGACTGCCTGCTATTTCTCAGGCGCTGTATGACGCCCTACGGGCTTAGCGTGCAATGCTGGGTTTGGCTCCAGCCATTTCAGTTCCTTATCACTGTAGGCAACAAGAGCATTTCACCCCTCCGTGGAAGATATGTTCATTTAATATCACATACCTGCAAGTCCCTCCCAAAAGAAGCTCATTGCTAGTAATCCCTTCCTTAAATCTCTTTTTTAGAGCAACTGCTCAAGAAGAAATTTCTCACCTAGCTGGTAGTAATAAGTTATCACAAGTTATATACACTGATGGATCTAAACAGGAGTCTTCTGGCAGGGCTGCATCTGCTCTTGTTGCCACCTCCCTAGTTAAGAACGATAATAAATTTGTTGAGTTAGGCATAAGAATTAACAACTGGGCGTCTACACTGCAAACTGAATTGTTTGCAACCCTAAGGGCCCGCTAAAGCTAACCTATGACACTGAGCTCGAGTCTATCATCATTACTGATTCTATGTCATCATTGAAGGCTCTTGACTCATATAATGACTCCAACAACATGCTCATTGGAGAAGCCAGGAATAGATACTCAAAAATTAGGGACAAAGGAATTAATGTACAATTGTTATGGATCCCATCACACATTGGATTACTCCGTCATGATCAAGTTGATATGTTAGCCAAGAAAAGTACCCAGAAGGAGAATGTAGAATATAACTTTGGTATAACTGTGTCTAGCATTAGGAATAATATTAGGAGAGAAGTAAATAATGAAAATGATTGTTATAGGAAAGCAGTTAGAAGCCTGAGTAGATCTATAACCCACTATGATAACATGAACGTAGATAAGTATGTTTATGGAGCAACTTACAATGTGAACAGACTGACTGATGTAGTGGGCAGGCTTAGGCTTGGTTACAAGTACTTCTGGCAGTTTGGGAGACACACAGATGATGATCAAACTAAATGTAAAAATTTTGTGATCAGTCATATGGTCACTCTATTGAGCACTATGCCATAAATTGTCCATTTATTGAGGAATACAGAGACAGACAGTATAATAACCTATGTGACATGTCAAGATATCTTATTAATGAAAATAAGATACTAGATATACTAAGCAAATTTCCTAAATTTGCTTGTAACAGATAAGTGAACTATAGATATGTAGATATAAATCCATATGTATTCCTGTTAATCCTTTGGGGCCTAGTTCCTAGGCCTTTTGTGTATCCATATGCTCTCGCGCTACCCTCCACAGGATGGATATGGGGTGCACAATAAACTAGCCACTTCGGTGCATTCGCTGCCTGACCACGGTCGAGTGAGGTTGTGCGCTGCACCCCTCTGCTGTTCAGGCGAGCTACCTTGTATCAACATGGCGCTGAGTGTGAGGAGGCGCGTAAATACCATTGGTATTGAGCTGCTTCGTGGGGCGATTTCACCTCTTCAGTGCAAGTCTTACTCCCCACAAACATTAGGGAGCCCGGAATCCAGGGCGATTGGGGG